AAAACATGTCTGACCTGGTCCCTCCTCTGCTTAAAACTCTTCCATGGCTCCCCACTGCCCTCCACACTCCTCAGTGGGTCACTCAGTGCCCTCTGTGAACTGGTCTTTTCGGGGGCCCTCAGTCCATTCTTGACCCACAGCAGTAGACCTCAGCCAACCACTCCACCTGCTCTCAGCTGATTCTTACAGTCCCCCACACCCTCTTGTACCCTCCTGCCTCCTTACATTTGTCTTTCCCCCTACCTGGAATGCCCTTCTGCACCTCATCTATCTCGAGAACTTCTACACAGCCTTCAAGGCCCTTTCAAATGGCATCTCCTCTGTGAAGCCTTCTCAGACTTCATTCCTTAGTGAGTTATGCTTAAGGGATGCCTTGGCTCTGGTGGGCTCTGGCTCCCCCTAGGGGCCAAGGGGAAGAAGTGCCCACTGGGCCTGACTTCTGAGTCCCTTCTCTCCCGGACACTCGCTCACCAGCCAGCCCCCCGTTTGTGATGTCCACGTCACAAAAGACTGGGAAGGCTCGGCCCTCGGGTAGGCACAGATGGTACCAGCTGCTCAAGGTGGCACCCCGGCTCAGCAGCTCCTGGCAGCTCCTGGGGCCTGGGGAAGGGGAGATGGACTGAGGGGGGCCCCCAAGTTATTCCCCACCCCCCACCCCCCTCACAGGCAATGGAACAGGCCAAGTGTGGGACCCAGGAGCCCTCTGGATTCCTTTGGACCCCTGAAGAGGGGTTCCAAGGTGTGCTGGGTGACACCTGGGGTCCACAAACACCCCAGCACCAACTGACTCCAAGTGCCTGGCTCCTGTGAAGGCGGCCTCACTCTCCTGGCCCCGGAGCAGGTTCGCTGAATCTCCTGCCCCAGGGAAAGATGAGTGTTGGCTCTTGAGGTCTGAGTACCTCCAAGGGAATGCCCATTAACCACCAGAGGGGAGGGTGCCCAGGCCCTTCTAATTCTCCCCACTCCTCCCAGCCTTCCACCCCCTCTGCAGGAGAGAAATCATAGCCAATTCCTGAACGGCAGCCAAGCAGAGGCAGGGACAGAGCAAAGAAAGACGAGGAGACCTCTGGCCACACATACTCACCAGGCTCACCCTTGGGGCCCATCTTGCCTGGTGGTCCAAGTTGCCCTGAAATCCCAAGGCAGAGATGCATTACATCCCACCCCATGTCAGGGGCCAAAAAGCAACGAGGGATTTGGAGCCAGAAATCAAATCCCAGCTGCAGCCTTTCCTGGCTCTGTGAATGTGGGCAAACTGCTTATCCTCTCTGAGCCTCACTTTCCCCCTAGCAAAATGGGGATGGTACCACCTGCCTCACAGGATCAATCTTCGGATGCTGGGCATCCGGCCTGGAGCCTGGCACGCAGTAGGTTCCTTGCCCTTTTGTCATGGGCTCTCAGCACAGACTGTAACTGCTGCACCCCGTCCTCCCCAGCTTGCCCCAGGTCCCTGCCTGCTCCACGGCATCTCTCACCTTGAGGACCTGGCACTCCCTTCTCCCCAGGACTTCCTGGGGCTCCAGGACAACTGGGCAGGAGGACAACTTTGCTGGCTTCCAGTTCCCTGGGTTCTGCAGGGAGACATGGGGCTGGGTGGGCACAGGATGGGCATGGGGGGAGTGGGCATTTCTCTCCCAGACCCCTCTGCACTTCTGTTTTCACCCCCCAGATTCTGTCAGGACACTGGCCTCAGGAGCTGGCAAGGTTTTTCACCATTTGCATCTATTTGCATATGTTTTTGTGCAGAGCCCAGATTATCAAACTCCCACACTGCTCCTTGAGGCTAGTGAGCCTGGCTGGGAGAAGGATACCTAGGGAGGGAATGAGGGCAGATGGGTACGGGGGGCGCCCTAGGCCTCTACCTGGGCAGCTGGGGCATCCTGGCTTCTCAGGTGGGCTCCCCAAACAAGAGGAGCAAAAGGGAGAGTGGGGTCCAGAGTGGGCCCACCTTGCTGGAGCCCCTGAGGGAGGGTGCCAGTTTATAAGGGGCCAGGCTGGTGAGAGGACATGAAACAAGACTTCCTCCTGTTGTCCCTCCCCAGGGACACCCCACCCAGGCTGGAACCAGCAGAAGGTGGGGGCATTTCCTTCCTCAGCCCTGGAGAGAATGGGCATAATCCCTGCCTGCTCCAGCCAGGATGGAGTCCAACTTCTGCTCCTGGCCTCTAGGGCTCTGCAGCCATCTCTTCAGACTTCGGGATTCACATAGGGTTTTTCTACCTTTGAACTTTAGCTAAGTCTTTGCCTTCCATCCGGAAGCCTCCTCCTCTTCTCCCCCTGTGAAGCTCCGACCATCCATGAAGGTCCAGCCCTAATGCCATCTCCACTAGGAATCCTTCTCTGATCCTTGTCACCGGTGTCAGGAATGACCGCTGCTACCGTCTGTTGGGCACCTACTGCACCCCACGAGTCATGCTGGGTGCGGTACGTTACCTCCCATCGTTACACAGCCCCCCTCATGGTCGTTATTACTGGCCCTGGGTTATAGGCTGGTACATAGCAGGTGCTCAGTTAATGTTGGTTAAAGGAATGAATAAAAATGGAGAAACGGGCCCAGAGACAGGACATGATTTGTGTTCTCTCTGGCACTTATATGCCATAGATTTTGCCCAAGCCCATGTTCCCCCCCCCTTAGCAAGGTGACTTCATGCCCACCCTCAGGTCCACTGAGAAGCCCCTGGCAGTGCCTAGAAAACAGCTGCTAATATAGGCCATCGAATGGGCAGACCGTGCAGGGCAGGCATGGAGGCTGGGAGGCCAGTGAAGAGGCAGCAGCCTTGGTCCAGATGTGAGTGGTGAGGTCTGAGCTGGAGAGGGACCGCCGGTGATAGGGGAGGGGAGGAGAGGAAAGGCTCATTCATTCATTCACTCATTCATTCCTTCATCAAACCCCCCCTGAGGGCCTCCTTTTTCCAGGCCCAGTGCTTGTGGGGTTGGGGGAGGCTGAGGTTCAAGAGGGTGTAGGGAAGGTAGAGGCCAAGTTTGCCAGACAAGATGGATCCATGAGATGGACGCTGAGACTCTGCAATTCCAATTCTAGGAATCTGTCCTCCCTACTCTCTCCCACAGGTGTGCCAAGATCTGCAGACAAGCCCCTTTACCGTGATGCTGTTTATGATAAAGTGGAAATGACCCAGCTGCACATTGAGAGCATGCAGGCAGATAAATCATCACCATCTGTACAAGTCACAGGGCAAATGTGATCTATAATGAAAGGGGCAACATTGCAGAACAATAGGGAAAGCACCCTCCCACTCTGTATCTTAAAAACGCTAAATGTGTGTTGTGAATTCACAGAAAAAGGTCTGACATATCCTGTTAAGCATACTTATTTCTGGGGAGTGGGACCAGGGGGAGAGGGATTCTCCCTCTTTATATAAACTTCTGTGTAGTCCTCTTGTTCCTTACAGGCATTTACTTTTTTTGGGGGGGGGGGCACACGGCTTATGGGATCCTAGTTCCCCAAACAGGGATCAAACCCGTGCCCTCTGCAGCGGAAGTGTGCAGCCCTAACCACTGGACCGCCAGGGAATTCCCGGCATTTACTAATTTTGAAAAAGAAAACATTCAATAGAGGAATTTCCTTAACTGGGTGTAAAGCCAGAAAGATATAGGGGCATTTCCTCCCTTGGCCTGGGAGGAATGGGCATTATCCCAGCCAGGATTAAGTGCTGGGTGGAGAAGCCAAGGGAGGGTGACCCAGGCAGGAGAAACTGCGTGTGCAGGGGCTTGAAGAAGAGAGAGCAAGGCAGGCTGGGTAACACAGATGCAAGGAGCTGGAGGGGAGGCTAAAGGGGAGGCTGATGTCTGAAAGGAGGCGGGTATTGATGGAAGTGAGCATGGAGGGGAGGGACACGGAGGTGGACTGTGTTTGGCATTGTCCATGGTGGTGCGATGTCTAGGCAGGTGAGCCCTCTATGAGGCCAAGGAGTAGCTGGAACTCCCTGTGGAGCCCAGGGGCCCTAAAGCCCTTCCAGCTGCAGCCAGAGACCCTGCATGGAGACTAGGCCTGGGGCAAGAAGAGGTGCAGGTGGCTGACCACAGGCTGCCCAGCTGGAAGGGTGGATGGATGTCCTGGAATGAAGCGGATGGAGCACATGCACCTGCTCTGAAACTTCCCCATATCCCACAGAGATGGAACCGCTGTTACCCAACTTTACAGACGAGGAAACTGAGGCCAAGAGCTGTTCAATTAACTTGTTCCCATTCACACAGAGCAGTCAGGCTCCACAGGCTGAACTTTCACCCATGACTCTATTGCCTCTCAGCTTCCTAGGACAGTCATGGGACTAAATCAAATACTGATGTTAGACTCTCAGCCACATGCCTGGTTTCCAGCAAGTACCCCATTGATAGGAGATGTTAATTAGTCAGGGAAGACTTCTGGGCCCAGGGATGGGGGGTAAAGAGGGGGAGGTGGGCACGGCTGGAGCTTTCCAGAAGGGCCTGCTCAAGGAAGGCCAGAAGTACCCTGTGGAGGGTCCCGGGGGCACCTCCACCTTGGCACTGGGGCAGAGACCCAACTTTAGAAGGCAAAAGAGCCTGGAGATGCCTCTGCAGAGGAGTTCTGAAGTTCTGCTCATTCTAGAGTCAGAAAAACCTGGATTCAAATCCCAGCCCTGCCCCATTCCACTCTGTGCGATCTTAAGCAGGTGTGCTTACCTTTCTGTGTCTCTGTACCCTTATCTATAAAGTGGTGGAGGAGGGGATTAAACACATGTAAGAAATAAAAATATTTTTTGTTTTGGCTGTGCCATGCAGCTTGTGGGATCTTAGTTCCCCAACCAGGGATTGAACCCGGCCCCAGAAGTAAAAGCGCTGAGTCCTAACCACTGGACCACCAGGGGAATTCCCGCAAATAAAAATATTTTAAAAGATGACAGTATCAGTTCAAGTCAGAATTTCCATTAAGGAGAGGACAGTGGCCATACCCCCACCCTATCCAATCCACACACAGCCCAAGACATGGGACATAAAACACATTGCTGGAAAGAGCTCCTTTATTTGGGGGCAGTGTCCAGGCCAGGTTGATGGGAGGAGGCAGGCTCCAGACCTAGTACCAGGCAGGGGGCCCCACAGGGATGATGGATGAGACAGAAGGTGGTTGAAGGATGCTCTCATCCGCAGGTACCAGGCCCAGACAGGAGGGGATGTCAGGTATTGGGCACCAAGCCTGCTCGGTGCCCACAGGGGCCAGAATTTGGTGACCACAGTTTCTCCCACCCCTAGTGCCCACAAGCGGGTCAAGAGGGCAGCCTCTTCATCCTTTTTCCCCTGAGTGTGGAATCCAGGCCTGAAGGGGGTCAGATTCTGCAGAGGCCAGACAGAGAGGGCACTCAGGGCAGTGGCCCCACCTCAGCCAGGCCAAGGACACCCACCCTCAGAGAGCAGGCGGTGGTCAAAAGAGCAAACACTTTAATGGAGGCTGCAGCGATCCGCCCCACAGCACACATGGGGCCACAGCACACGGGGGCCTCAGAGCAGCTCCCCTTCTCAGAGGAAAACCAAACCGCACACAGGGCCCAGGCTCCTGCCCGTGGCCACAGAGCTGCAGGCCGAAGGCTGCCTGTGCTGTCACCTACTGGTTCTCCTCCCTGCTGGCAGCATGAGGGGACAAAGACAGGTGGGCTCAGTTGGGCTCGCAGACGCCGGGCCCAGGCTGAGTCCTGCCCCAGCCAACACCTAGCAGAGAGAACCCCACAGCTGGAGGAGGGAGAAGGGGTGTGGCTCACATGGGGGAGGTTGGGAGGGACTCATCGCCCCTAAGGCTGCCCCATGGGGAAGACAACGCATCAGCGCTAACAGGGACCTGAGGGGCAAGAGAGGGGGGCGGGTGGGCAGCGAGCTGGGACTCGGCGGGCTAGGTACTCACAGTGTCTGGTAGGTGCTGTCCTTGGCCTTGAGGAAGCGCAAGACAAAGAAGGCCACTGTCTGCAGGCTCAGCACCAGCACGGCGCCACCAATGAAGCTGGCCCCATCAAAGCCAGGGCCGTGGGCCTCAGGGACCGAAGGGCTCTCTGCAGGGTGGAGGTCACAGCAGGCCGCTGTGGGCCAGGAGCCTAGCCCCACCCCAATACCCGGCACAGGTCATCTGGAGGCCCCAGTCCTCACTATGGGAGCCTTGAGCGGCAGGCTGAGAAGTTCAACCCAGACCCCGTGGGCGGTTGGCCAGTGCCTGACTGGGGAGACAGGGCCTTGGCTCGGCCCTGGCTCTGCTGCTGAGCTGCTCGGTGGCTTGATGCCTCTTACACCCTCTCTGAGCCTCCTGACGGCAGGGACCAGATGGTGACTGAGCTCCCCGCCAGCCTCCCTCTTCCACAGGGGCCCAGCAGGGTGAGGACGGACCCAGAACTTGGACATCCACACCCGCTTCAGCTCAGAGTCGCTCTCAGCCTTGGGTCTTGGGGTTTGAAGCCCAGATACAGATGCTGTGGTCTCCTTTCAGGACTCCTAAGTCCCGAGACCCTGGAGTCACCCAATGCCAGAGCCCTTACTTAGGGAGGGAAGGAGCAGAGGAAGAAGTGGAGGCCCACACCCTACCAAGTAGATAAATGAAGACTTGATGATGTACGTCAGAGGGAGAAGCCAGGCTCTGAGTGCCAGGCCTGTCCAAAGTCACCCCACAGTTAGGGCATAGCCAGACTCACACAGCATCCCCTGACCCTTTCCCCTGCCCCCGCCTTGTGGCCCACGGTTGCCAGGACGTCTGGGTGGCTCCCAGCTGTGCCACGTTAGCCATCAACTCCCACCAGGGATTCAATTTCAGGCCCTGGGCCAGGTGCCCAGAGCAGGGCAGGGCAGGGATGGTGGTGGAAGATCATTCTGGGGCAGTGAAAGGGGCCCAGTTGGGAGCTGGGTCCACCTCCCAGAGGGAGTAGCTTGTGGAAGGGGGGTCTGAGAATATGAAGGGCAAAGGGTAGTCCCAGCTGCAGCTCAGGGAGCCCCAGAGAAGGGTACTGGGGAAAGAGGAGCAGAAGAGGGAAGAAATAAGCTGTACAACACTGATCTGGGGCTCAAGCCGGAGGGAGCTGAGCCATCAATAATTCAGCCCCTAAGATCACGTTTCTGGCTTTAATTAACCAAGAGCCTCTTCAGCCATCCTTGCCAAGCCTGCTGACCTCCAGGCCCTGAGGGGCAGTGGGAACCAAGGGGTGGGGTTCTTGCCTCTGTTCTGCCAGGAACCTGCTGTGTGACCCTCTCTGGGCCTGGGCGTTGCAGCAGGTAGTCACTGAGGACACCTTGGCAACCTGAGCCATACACCCTCAGCACCAAGTATGTCCGGAGGGGGTCATCCTGAGTTCTCTGGTGTTGGGAGAAGGGATGGGAACCATCATTTCTTGATCACCTTCTATGCATCAGAAATTGAACTAGGTGCTATACATCTTCTCATAAAATCCTCACAGTAACTTTGTGAAGTATTATCCAACTCACTTTACAGATGTGGAAACAGGCTCAGAGGGAGAAATCACAGGGCTGAGGTCACAGATCTCGTCAGTGCCTGAGCCCAGCTCTGTCTTTCCCTGCACCTCTAGACCTCCCATTCCCCCAGATAGTACCTACCTGTTGTGATGGTCTTCGGTTCATAAGTGGGATGGTGGTGCACAGCTGAAGAGACAGGGAATCCATAATAATCCAGATCCCCACCCCCAATTCCCATCAAGACCCCAACCCAGGCCCACCCAACACACTTTCAAGCCTTAGTTCACACAGTTCCTTCCACCAGATGTGCCCTCTTTCCACTCTACATTTAAGTGTCATCTCTGATGCCACCTCCTCCAGGAAGCCCTCCCCCCATTCCCTTCTGAACTTCCAAAGTCCTCACTATGGTTTAAAATAGAATAGCTAGCTCCCCCATCCTCTCTACATGCTTGTCCTAGATCCTCTGGCTGCACCAATTTACAGAGGAGGAAACAGGCCAGAGAGGGGAAGGGACTTCGCAGTGAGCTAAAGGCAGAACTGAAACTGGACCCCGGTGTTCGTGGGCATAGTCTACTCTCTGGGAGAGGCCAGTTCCATATTGGAGGCAGGCTCTGACTGGGGACACCTCAGCCCCTTCCCTCCAACTTGACTTAGGCCAGCAGGAGCCCCCTTACCTGGACATGACTCTGAGCGGTTGTAGACAGAGCAACCTTCCTTGACCACCTCAGCTTGGGCCACACAGTGTCCTGGTGGGAGAAGGTTCAGGGAAGAGGTTTGGGGGTGGGGCCAAGGCCTTGGTGTTCATAACTGGGGGCACTAAACTTGGGGAGGGCCTGACTCCATACCTGGCTCCTCCGGCTGACACTGCTCCCACACACAGCCAGTGAGGTTGTGTGCTCTGTTCCCCTCCACACAATGCTCACAGAGCTTCAGCTGTTTGCAGGCCCCTCGGACAGCTGGCCAGATGTTCATGCGGAGAAGGGCTCCCCGCCCAAACCCTCGAGCTCCTTTACCTGGGAGTGGCATGGGTGCAGCACTTTGAACCCAAGATACAGCCCCCCTTCCCCACTTCGGTGGATCTCACCCCTCTGCACACATACACTCACCTGGATCCCCCAAGCCCCCCTGCCCGTCTGCAGTTTCCACAAACACATGGTTACACACACCAAGAACCTCCCTGACATTCACACAGAGCACCCTCCCTTTGCATACATCGGGAGCTAACCCCCCATACACCTAGGGCCGCTTCACTTCCATACACCTGAAGCTCCCTCACACCTGGCGCCTATATGTACACACAGGAATCCACACACAGCTGGAGTCCCCTTCTACCCACCCCAGGAGCCCCGCACACATGTGGAAAACTCCCCTCCCGCCCCCCAACCCCCGACTGCTCCTGGCAGGCGGCTGGGTGAAGGGTGAAGGGCACGCGTTACCAGCTACAACAAGCTGGGCACACAGGAGGAGGCAGCAGCAGCCGCCACAGAGCGCAGCCCGTAAGGCGCGGGGTCCCGGCGCGGCCATGGCGCGGAGGCGGAGCCTGGGGGTCGGGGTCTGCGGAGTGCTGGTGTGGCGCGTCCCTTCCAGACTCGGCTCCGCCGGGGTGTAGGGAGCGAGACCCGGGCAACCTGGGCGAGGCCAGGTGGGCGTGGCTCTGGCAGGGAGGGGGCTAGTGACGCCACCAGGTGGGGCGGGGTTTTGTGGTCTGAGGCGGGGTCAGGTAGGGCGTGGGTAGTGGGCGCGGCCTGGTGGGGGCGGGGTTCGGGGATCTGAGGCGGGGCTCCTGCAAAAGGAGGCGGAGTCCAGGACCGGTAGCCGGCCAGGTCGCTGGATTCCCCCACCCTCAGTTTCACGAAAACTCTGCTGCATTATTATCCCTACTTCACAGGTGAGGAAACTGAGGCTCAGAAAAAGTGAGTGACTAGTCGGAGGTCACAGAGTTAGTGGCAAAATCTGGATTTGAAGCAAAGTCACTTTCCTGACTTCCGGGCTTGCGTCAAGGGCGTCCTCCAACCAGGCCCCAGGACCGCGAGGATCAGCCTCCAGGCTCTGGCAGCCCACCTCGCTTCACCCGTTGCACCCTCCTCTCTTCTGCCCCTCAACACACCGCGTCTACCTCTGACCCACCACATCCCCTCTGGCCAAGTCGGCGGTCTCATTGTTACTGGGACAAGTGGGCCTTTCCACAGCCTTCCTCTCTGCCTCTTCTGGTTCTTCTCTCTCTGCAGCCACTTCTCAGGTTCCTTAGAATACACCTCCTCTTCCTCTTCCCCCCATCCTCCATTCTCCCCTTTCCCCACCCCTCCCCTCTCCTTCTTCCCCTTCTCTACTCCTCCTTTTCCTCCTTCCCCCTCTTCATCTCCGGTGGCCCAGTTCAGTCCTGAGCTCTATTTCTCCTGTCCTGGGGTCATCTCATCCATTACTCTGCCATCAGTTCCCAACTGAAAGCCAACGAGTCCCATATCTCCATCTCCAGCCCAGTGCTCGCTCCCCAGCTGCCACACCTGTAACTAACAATACATAGTTAACAACTATTAACGACTTACTACTAGCAGAATGTACATTCTACTAAGCAGTTTTACTTGCAGCTTCTCTTCTGATGTCCTCAACTGCCCTCTAAGCATGGGTTTTGTTATCTCCAGTTTGCAGGCCTCTAGTAAAATCACTTGCTCAGGGGCACACAGGAGGGGGGGCCAGGATGTGGACCCAGAATCCAGTGAGGTCAGAGGCTACTCTCCCCTCTGCTATGCCTCCTGAGGGTCCATCTGCTTCCTGGGCACCTCTACCTGAGTGTGCCTCAGGCCCCTGAAACTGCCCGGTCTCTCTTCCCCACTCAGGGAGGCCCCTTCATTCCCCCCGGCACCTGATTGGAAACCATGGTCTCATCCTCACCCCCTCCCTCTGTCTCAGCCCCCAGACTTTAGTCCTGCAGATTCTGCCTCTACATCTCTCCTGTGTCCTGCTCCCTCATCTTCCCTTTGCTGGCCTCACACTGCCTCTCAGCCTCCAGGACCCTCCCAGCTCAGCCCTCACAGTGCAGGGCTGTCCTGAAAACATGGATTCAACCATGAAACAATTTTCAATTCAGCTTGGCCTTCACAGCCCTGTGATTCATGGCTCTAGAAGTCTTTAGAAGTCTTGTGCTCACCCCAACATCTTCTTACCCTCTGAGAAAATAGAACAGCCTTTCCCCCAACACACACCCTCTTTTGTACCTCCTTGCCTTTATCCTATAGCTGTTCTCTCTCCTGGAGGGTCCTCCTCCTCTCCTGACTACATGTGTCTGGCAAACTAATCCTTCAGGACAATGCAAAATGGGCACCGTCTGCAGGAAGCCCTCTGTGACTGTCGTGGAGCAAGGCTGAGCTGCTGTGGCACTTGTCCCAGGTGGTAGATCCAAATCCGTCTGCTTTCCCGCACCCAAGCCCTTATCCCCTCACCATCTCTTGCCTTGGTGACTGCAGTGGCCTCCTGGTAGGGCTTCAGCTTCTGCTCCCCACCTCCAGTCTGTTCTCCACTCAGCAGCCAGAGCAATCCTTTGAAAATGTAAGTCAAATCGTACCATTCCCATGTTTAAGCCACCAATGGCTCACTGCTCTCCAATACTAGCATGATCTTCCCCCTGCCTACCTCTCTGAGCTCAACTCCTACTCTCCCCATGGCTCCTTTGGCTCCAGACACACTAGCCTCCTCTCTGTTCCTCAAACACATCAACTCTTTTCCTCCTAAGACTTGGTACCTGCTGTGCCCTCTCCTTGAAACTCTTCTATCCTCTCTTCAACTGACTTGCTCCATGACTTCCCTACTTAAAACAGGTCTCCTGGTTATTCTACATCATCATGCCTCCTTTTTTTCCTTCAGAACACGTATCAACTGTATAATTAATTACTCATTTGTTTCTTAGGCTATAAGTGAGTTCCAGGAAGGCAGGGACCATGTTTATCTTCATCTGTAGTTAACTCCCTGCACACATAAAAGCTAAGCAGGTGGTTACCAAATAACCATACTGTACCATCTTGTGACTGTGTACATGTTTGCCTGTCTCACTGGTCTGTGAGACCCTCAAGGGATCCCTACTTAGTATCATATTAAGTTTTTATTTGTAGATTGTCCATCTCCCCATCAGAATGGAAGCTCCATGAAGAAGGCAGAGATTTTTGTTCATTGCTGTATCCTCTGTGCCTAGAATGGTGCCTGGCAAATAGTATATGCTCAATAAATATTTATTGAATGTTCAAAATGCAGGGATATGGCCACATCATCTTTCTGTCTGCAGCACCCTCTCAAACCCAAGCGCAGGGGAACTGTCAGTGAATATTGGCTGAATGGATGAGTCAGTGCTAAGAATGTGTGCGCTGATGATGCCCAGATTCTTGGGGCTTGGACAAGGGGCTTGTGTAGACAGTATCTGTGTCTCTCTCACACACACCTCCCTCCAGAGCCTAGGCCCATAGGATTCTGCAGATTGGTGGAGAAGAGGTAAGAAGTCTTACCTGGAGGTGAGCCCTCACAGCCATCTGGTGGTCACCTGGGGAACTGCAAGTACTATCAGCCCTAGTTCAACTTCACTCCCAGCCCCTTCTGAGGAGATGGTGACATCTAGGCTAGAATGAAGACACACTGGATTTGGTTGCAGATGGAATGGCTTCAGATCCCAGCTCTGCCATTTACTGTGCAATTTGGGGCAAGTCCCTGGCTTCTCTAGGCTTCACCTGTGAAATGGGGATTCAGGACTCTTGTAAGTACTGGGCTCTCATCTGGCACCTGGTAGGTGGGAAGGACTGGAGGGGGGTGTCAGTGATGGGAAGGAATCAAAGAGGCAGGGCAGAGGGCATGAGTAGGAGAGAAGAGGAAGGGCTGCCCCTTCCTCTAGACAGCAGATCTTTGGGGAAAGGAGACCTGGTTGGCAGCGATGGCCTCAATTGTCCTGTTGACACGGGGCAGTTTTGGAGCATGAGGGAGAGTATTCACATGAAAATCCACAGCCCCACTTGAGTCTCTTAGGTCTCCGGCGTTTCTCATGGTTAGAAATATCAGTGCACTCTTTTCCTCCCCGGCTGGCTGAGGATCGTCTCCATCATGAATGACACCGTACCTCTCCGGATCAGGAAGTTCTGGCCAACCAACTACTTCAGTGGAAACATGGTCATTGATGTGCTTCACCCTGGAAGGGCAACAGTGTCCAAGACAGACATTTGGGGAAAAGTAGCCAAAATCTACAAGACCACACGAGACGTCATCTTTATACTTGGAGTCAGAACCCATTTTGGTGGTGACAAGACAACTGGCTTGGGCATGATTTACGATTCCTTGGGTTATGCAAGGAAAAGTAAACCAACACAACCCTGCAAGACATGGACTGCCTGAGAAGAAAAAGAACTCAAGGAAGCAGCGTATGAAATGCGAGAACAGAATTAGGGAGGTCGGGGGACCACAAGGACCAGTGTTGCTGCTGGCAAAAGGAAGAAGTAAAGATTCTGCAGGGACTTTATCTGTGGTGATATTGCCTATTTTTCATGAGAGGATTAATAAACTGTGAAAACACAGAAAAGACCACTGCTGCTCAGAATAGAAGATAGTCTCTCATACACCCTTTCTTTCTTTCTCCCTTCCTTCCTTCCTTCCTTCCTTCCTCTCTGTCTCTCTCTTCCTCTCTTTCTTTCTTTCTTTCTTCCATGTGCTTGCAGCATCTTTGTTCCCCGACCAGGAATGGAACCCGTGCCCCCTGCAGTGGGAGCACAGAGTCCTAACCACTGGACGGCCAGGAAATTACCTCTCATACACCCTTTCATGCCAACCTCCCAACAGCCTTCACCCTTCTCTGAGACCAACTGGACAGTTGTTGGGACCCGGCCCTGACTGGGGAGAAAGTGAATACCTGGGTTCTGGGGCGCTAATGTCCCTGTATTCTCTCTGATGCCCCCACCTTCCTTGACACCGTGCGTATTACTACTGTCTCTCTGTTCTCCTTCTCTTTCTCTAGATGCTGCTTTTTGTTTAATCACCCAGTCAGCAAGTATTTATTGAACACTTACTCCATGCCAGGCATTGTTCTCCAGCACAGAACAGAACGAAGTCTGTTCAGTCCTGGCGGGGCTGACATGTGCTTTTTTAGCAAAGAATAAACTTAGAATTTCAGGAGTGCTAAGTGCTCTGAAGAATAACAAATCGAGGAAAGAGAGCAGGGAGTGATGGGGAGGGGGGGTAATCTAGGGTAGAGGCCAGGAAAGCCTGCTCCTGAAGAAGTGACTTGGGTTCCGTGCCCGGAATGAAGTGAAGGGGTTCCAGGCAGAGGGAACAGCCAGTGCAAAGGCCCAGGAGCAGCAATATTCTCAGCCACAGTCTGTGCTCTCAGTGGCAGGGCTCCCTGAGGCTCCTCCACAATCTCTGCTCCCTCCCCTGGGTGATGTCATCTACCCCTTGAACCTGCACACCTAGGCCTCCCAGGTGTCCTCCTCCTGCCAGATGTATTGGCAGCCAACACAGCCAGTGTTGCTAATGTGCCAGGCCCCTCCCAACAATCCCAGGAAGAAGATACTAGCATTACCTCTATCTTACAGATGAGTCAATCTGGGCACAAAGAGCCTAAGACACTCACCCAAAGTCAC